TGGACTCTTTGTACGATCTCTCGGGAGAGATCGAGGGTGGTCGGCCACTCTCGACTGACGGCGGGGTTTCCTCTTAAGTGGAAATGGGAACACTTTCAGCAAAAGCCTGAGTATTATGCAGTGAAGCCCGAAGACTTAGATGCTCAGAATCAGCTCTCTTACGACAAGTTGGCGACTTATGTCAAGAGCTTTTCCCCGGTGAAGTGTGTGGACATGGACAATAACTTCTGATTTTACGATAAAGGGGCATCTCTTTGTTCCCATATTGATTAACACGAAAGCGCTACTCGAGTACTCCTCTGACGAGGAGGCTTTGAGACTTCTAGGTAGGGGATGTGCCTGTAATTTTATGTTTGTACTTTGGTCTTGTGACATTCAGTTTCTTTTTTATTGCAGATCAGATGGCGACTCTCTTCTAACGTTTACTCAAGTTAAGGCCCAAGAATGCATCTAACTTGGGGCCTAAAAATCGGGTTGCTCAGCTTCAGGAACAGGCCAAAACTTCTGCCCGTCCAAGAGGTTTATTTTCCCCTTCAAGGGCCCAGCCCCCCCCCCCCCCCCCCCCCCCCCCTCTCGAACAACCGGTGAAAAGGAAACGCGTGGAGGACCCCGAGCATGTGGCGCCTGTCGAAGGGGACAAGGGTGTCGCGCTAGGGTGTCTTCATGAGGAGGAGAGGGAATCCATAATATCTGAGGACAAAGAAACCCGTCGGAAGAATCTATTAGAAGATGTGGTTGCCGTGATGAGGGTTCTCGAAATTGCTTTGACGCTGAATGATTAGGCTGCGGGCTCTCAAGCCGCTCTTGATAAAGAGTATGCCTGGATCCAAAAGTTGAAGGGAATTAATAAAAAGTTGAATGGTGATATCCTCAACCATGAGACGAAGTATGAAGTGCGGGTCCAACTTCGACGCTGGACCTCGGTCGAGGTGTCCCCGTCAGGATAAGGTTCTTCTCGACCAATGAGCAAAAACCTGCCTTTTGTTATTGGTTAGAGGTTATAATCGTACCTCAACATGCTTTCGTGGTCGATTGAGCCTTGTCGTTTGTTAGAGAGGGTACGTCGATTGTTGGGCCCCCACGTTTATCGGGGACCAAGCTGTAATATTGTTTCAGCTTTATAGCGCTCCATGGTCGAGGTATTGGTTCTCCTCGGACGTTCGAGGTGGTAGGCTTCAGTGTCTGTTGCCCCAGGACGCGGTAAGGTCCTTCCCAATTAGCGACCAACTTTCCTTCACGAGAATCTTTATGATTTCTCCACAAGACTAGGATGTCGATCTGGAATTCGCGTTTTATGACTTTGGTGTCATGACGCGGGACTATTTGTTGTTTCAGTGTGGCTTCGCGGAGAACTGCTCCTGATCGAATTTCTTCGACCATGTCGAGCTCTTCCCTTAGAGACTCGTCATTTAATTTCTCGTCTAAAGGGACTTCAGTTCGTTCGTTTGGTGCCATAGGTTAATCGAGATGGGGTTTTGCCGATTGTCGAGTGTGGCATCGTTCAGTAAGCCCACAGGACGGTGTGCAACTCTTCGATCCACACCTTTTTAGCTTCGTCCAACCTACACTTCAGTCCTTGTAAAATGACTCTATTTGCGACCTCGACTTATCCGATTGTTTAAGGGCGTTCAACGGACATGAAATATTGTGTTTTGAAATATTGGGGTATAAAAAAGCATTGTGCTAAAGAGTAAAAGCAAGTATTGAGCTTTTATCAATCTGCTTCGATGTTGTGTCTTCCAACTTTGTTTAAGATCTAACAATTTGATCACAAAGAAACCTCTTCATTCTGGCAAAATGAATGATCTCACTTTGTCTTGCGTCGTGAAGATAGAAAACCAGATGGTATGTATTAACTCTATAGGAATCATATTACAATAAAATTTGAAGCATGGCATATGAACCATATATATCATTCAATCTAATTGAATTCTGCAACTGTACAACAAATATGTATGAGGGAAGATTATTAGTTATCCAATGTAAAGTCTCAACGGAAAAACAAAAATGTGCTGAGAAATACAATGATTCTTAATTACCTTACTTATATTGTTAATAATTGTAAGGTGTGAAAGTATTATTTAAAACAATGAACTATATTAACTTCTTAAACAATATAAATAACAGAAAACCAAAGGTTTTCACTGATGAATTACATCGCTTGCTAAAAGTTGGATATTTCTCTGAATAATTTGAGCATCTACTTTTACATATCAACACAAATCAAAAAGGAACAAACAAGGCCCAATATCTAAAGACATCTATCTAAGCCTTCTTTGGAGTTTTCTTGGCCTTTGTTGGAGACTTTGGAGTACTAGCAGCAGCATTTTCATTCCTCTTAGGCAAAAGTACAGGGTTGATGTTAGGAAGAACACCACCGTGGGCAATTGTTACACCAGCAAGCAAATTACCAAGCTCTGTATCATTCCTAATAGCCAACAACAAATGTCTTGGACTTATCCTGTTCTTCTTGTTGTCACGTGCTGCATTTCCAGCCAACTCAAGAACCTGAACAAACACCAAATTTCAAAATTAGGATCTCAAATTCAAAATCACTGATTCATTGAAATTAAAGATAACAGATGGAAAATGAGATTTACCTCAGCAGCGAGATATTCGAGAACAGCAGCTAGGTAAACAGGAGCACCAGTACCAACACGCTGAGCATATCTACCTTTCTTCAAGAATCGACCAATTCTTCCGACTGGAAATTGAAGTCCAGCTCTGACAGATCTGGTGACTGACTTCTTCCTTGGTCCTCCTCCTTTCCTTCCTCCAGCTCCCTTCTTCACCTTTGTGCTTGCGTCCATTTCGAGAATTGGATAACTATAATATGGCTATTGATTTGCTGTATTGTAAGAAACTGTGAGAACTAGAGATGAGGAGATGAAAATGAATATGGTGTTGGCAAGGTTTTATACTCTCACGGTCCTGGTAAGGATCTTGTTTTGAAAACATATCCACCGTTGGATTATAACTTATCTATGGCTCTGTGTAACTTACCTGGCAATCCGTGTTTTTTAAAACCGACCAATGGGGACGAACTAGACGCTGTGAACTTGGACGGTATATTGAGTTGTGGAAGCTAGCAGTTACTAATTAATTACAAAAGTAATCACTGAAACACACTTCAGACACATTTATATATATATATATATATATATATATATATTATTCAATAAATCTAAAGAAAAATTTATTGTTTATAAATATATTTGGAGAGTGTAGATAAATTGTTACAATTAACAATTGTATTATATTTTAATACAAAATTATTTATAATAAATTATATTGTTAAATCAATTTATTTGATAGTTGTGTAAAGACAATTTAATTATATAAATGATTTGAAATCGTGGTAACTTATTTACCTCTTTAAAGAATAAAATTTTGATTATTAAACGGCTAGAGAAAAAGTGCATGATAAACTAATAATAAAATTTATCTTTTTAATTACAAAAATATATCCTAATTTTGAGATAATTTAAACATTTGAAGAATATTACAAATGTTAATTATTGGTTTATCTATTAAAAAACTTTTTTTTAATTGATAAGTGTGTCAAGTAATTATTTGTTTTGGCTTAAGATATGTGGTAAGATAGTATTTGTTGGGGGGTATTAAGAATTTTTTATTTAGGTAGTTGGATCATGATTTGTGGTAGAATGGTTTGTATTGAAATTTTTGAGGTACACATGAAAAGTTATATAATGTATATAGTGATTGTAAAGTTTTTTTAATAAGCAAAAAGTTGTTGTAGTGATGAGGAGAACAAAAGATACTTGATATGTATAACTAAAATCAAATATAAGAATTACGAATTCAGATTACAACGACTCAAACTTGATTGCCATTCTTGTCAATCTTCTAAAACTTGATCAATTCTGCCCTTTGACTTCATTACCCACCATTTCCATGACTAATATTTAGAAAGATGCACTATATCCTAAATGACTATAAAACCGTTCTCGTGTTTGATTATCTTTATAAACCTTATAAGTTCCATCAATATAGAAATTAAAAACATAACTCTAAATAAAATATTTAAATTTATATTTGAATACAATTATGAGAATGAAAGTGAAAGCGTGTTTGAATTTGTCATTGAGAATCACCAAAAGTTTGCGAGTATTTGATCTTCCAAATTATAGAGTTCCTTATGGCTCCTTGATTCTCCTCTGATGGGGATGAAGAAAGAATTATTGATAAGCTGTTTTGCATTGTCTACAAATGGGGACCATACTCCCATAAATAACTGTAGGGTTATTTCTTAGTTTTCAATATTATAATTTAACCCCTCACCAAATTAGATATTGACTTATGGTATCTACACAATAATATTACATTTCTTGATATTTATGCTTTTAGCCACTGACTTATTATTAATTATATCACTACAGATTTAACTAATTAAATAATGGCTCTAACACATGTAACATTACATTTGTGACTCAAATATTCTAACAATCTCCCACGAGTCATATGTATAATCATACACATGTGTTAGACTTTATGAGCTCAAAATTCGCCATTATATTTCTTAAGCATATCTAAATTATCTCGTCCATTATTAATGTCACTATTTAGAACCAAAGTGATTTTCGTTATAACAATCATAACCAAATCCATCAATGGTCGCCAATAGTGACACAATTAAATGACATAGATCCATCATGAAATGTGTAGTATAAAAATCACATAAAATTGGTTTGTATATTTTGATTTTCAACTGGTCCTACTTTACTTTAGTGAGATCACTCAATAACTTTATTGTACAAAATGTAAACTGCTGAATATCAAACTTTATTAATTTGGAAAATATTCAGAATCATAGTATGCATGCATAATACCAAAACACAAAACATAGAATTCATAATCGACTAACTCCCACTAAACCAAAGACTCCTCTAACAGTAAAACACCCATGTGAGCATCGTGCTCATGAAAGACCTTGGATGGAAGACATTTTTTAAGAGAATCTGCTATCATGGATTTTGTTTCTAAATGTTCTTTGGAGTTTTCTTGGTCTTTGTTGGAGACTTTGGAGTACTAGCACTAGCATTTTCATTCCCATTTGGCAAAAGGACGGGGTTGATGTTAGGAAGAACACCACTGTGGACAATTGTAACATCAACAAGCAAACTATCAAGCTATGTATCATTCCTAATAACCAACAGCAAGTGTCTTGGACTTATGTTGTTCTTCTTGTTATCACGTGCAACATTTCTAGCCAACTCAAGAACCTGAACAAACAGAAAATTTCAAAAATTAGGATCTCAAATTCAAAATCACGGATTCATTGAAATTAAAGATAAAAAAGGGAAAATGAGATTTACCTCAGCAGCGAGATATTCGAGAACAGCGGCTAAGTAAACAGAAGCATTAGTACCAACATGCTGAGTATATTTACCTTTCTTCAAGAATCTACCAATCCTTCTGACGGGAAATTGAAGACCGACTTTGACAGGTCTGGTGACAGACTTCTTCCTTGGTCCTCCTTTCCTACCTCCCGCTCCTTTCTTTGTCTGTTTACTTGCGTCCATTGTGATGTGATTTAGTTGAGACTTTCACAAAAATGAACTGATGAATTGAAAAGAAGGAAGGTGGTTTGAACTGTGAAATGTTAGTGCAATTTTATTCAGTGACTTAGTACTGTGAGAATGGATGTGAAGTGAATACTCAATGTTGGATTGGAATTATCTACGAATGTGGATTGTTTTATCCGCGATCTGTGTGCTTTTAAATGGACCAATGAAAATCAACTACATAATTTCCTCTTTCGTCTATTATGAAGTAAGTAGTATTCGTTCTTAAATTAATATATAAATTAATAATATATAAAAAATAGTTAATTTATTATGGACTTGTTACTAGTAGAAAACTTGTGCGTACGCACAAATAATTTTATTAATATTTTAGATCATTCAATAAAGTTTAATTGTTGTTGATATATAATTATTATTGTAAAATCATTAATAACTAAAAATATTTAAAAATAAATATGCATCGTATCATCTATATGAAAATTCTAATATGACTAATAACTATAATTATTTGCAGACATCACTAATAATTATAAATATTTGCAAAAGATTATTTAAATATTTGCTGGTATATGTTTTTTTATCGTACCTGATTAGAAGAGATTGTCAAGGCCCACGAGCTTTGAGTCGAGCAGGGGTTGAATGTGAATGGATGATACTTGCAAGACACTTTGATGTCAAAGTAAGGTTTAGAGTAAGTGCAAAAAAATTGTGAGAGTATGAGTGAATGAATGAATATTTGATCCTCTCAAGTGAGAGGGTATTTATAGCCCTCAGCGTTGGACCAAAGTCTTCAGTAATGGGCCACAATGATGAAGAATGGAAAAACACAAGAAATGAGGGGTTTGAATTGGGGTTTTTAAAACTTAAAGAAAAGAACATGTTGGTTATCCTGTTTCGTTTGAACTCAAAATACTTCAGTCTACCCGCCAAGGTGATTTAGACTCTCTTAAAGAGGTCTTAATTCACTAATCAAACTTGATTACAAAGCTACTATGACAACCATCAAAGTCTTCTTGAGTTTAAACCACAAGCCGGTTTTCTCAAGGAATTTCACTAAACAATATTGAATAAATGTGTAGAAAAAAGTTTTCTAATAAAACAATATCACAAGTGATGTTTTACACAATTTTGTTTTTGAACTTTTAAAGATGATGAAGATTGCTTCGTTATTGTGCATGTAAAAATGGGAACGATTTATCATTCAAACTTTGTTTATATAAGTGAAACATGTAGGAGCTTTTGGAATGTTGATCAATGATAATTAAAGATCTTTTCGAAAATAGAGATCCTTGTTCCCTTCTAACCGTTACTTTTGAATAACAATAATTGATTTGTAACGCTTCAGAGCATGCTTGCTTCAGAAGATGAAAGTTACTGTTGCTTCTTTCTAGAACTTTATGGATCAGAAACACGGAGACATGTTTGCAACGTTAGAACTTCTTTGAGAGATGTATAAAATCAGAGTTGAAACAATCATTTAACTCATCTCCTGAGCTTCTTCCATCATAACTTCTTTGCAAAATAAAATACAACTTTAGGGAGCATAATTGTTCTTTAAGTGTTTGTTATCACCAAAACTCTTACAAAGATTGTAGAATTAAACTATGTTCTAACAATCTCTAATTTTTTGATGATGACAAAAACTTGGATATTTCAATAGGTACATGAAGAACATAAATCATTTAAGGTCTCCCCTTGAGTTGAGTACTCAGATAGAGAAGAAATATTTACCTGAAGTTTGTTCTAATCAGAGTTTTTGATGCGTCCACTTCTGTCCTCAATAGAGTTTGTTCATGTTTTGCCTTCAGAAAAAAAACAGAAGAAGTTATGATATTCAAAATGTTTGAGAATGCGTCTTGATACTGTTATATTAGAAATATCTTACGTTCTTCCCGTTTTTGTCAAGAATCAAAAAGCAATAAAAGCACTATAAGTAAGACAATAAGATTTGCATTCAAAAGGTTGTAAGAAACACATTCAAAAAGAAAATAAAATGAACACAGTACACAAAAAAAAATTTCAAAAACTAAGACTGAGGTGGATGAATTCGTGTGAACAGAGCTTCCAACAAATTTGCAATATGATTGTTTGACTCTTCTTGTTTTCCCAACATCCATTTGATTTCCTTGCATGTGTCATCCTGATTGTCTAGTCTTTCTTCAACTCCTCCAGAGTTTGCAGAACCAGAGATGAAGAGGATATATCAATAGAAGGTACCACCTTTCCAGAGCAAGTTGCGTCTGATTCTGACTCAGTAGCTTCTTCAACTTATTTGGCTTTGTCTTGAACCCTAACCAAAGGCAGAGGATCAGAGGATGGTTCATCATATTCTAAAGGCTGGTGATCTTCCCAGGGAACATTGTTCAGCAGAAGGAGAAGTTTCTTTTCCCAGTGACGCAGAACTTGATTCTTGAAGACTTTCAGATGATCATAGAAGTTCTGTTGAGCAATTTCATATCACAGCTCCTTAAGTTTCTGGGACTCAAAATTGAACCATGAACTGATTCCAGTGTGAATCAGAAGTAGCAGGATTTAGATTCTCTGAGCAAGCTAGTTTCAGAGAATTAATCCATTCAAGTATTTCGATTTTAAAAATCAGTAAATTTTTACCAACATCTTCTTTGGTGATTTTTGATTTAGGTACGACAATTTAGAATATAAGTAAGCATTGTGCTAATGAGTAAAAGCAAGTAATGAGGTTTATCAATCTACTTCCGTGTTGTGTTTTTCCAACTTTGTTTAAGTACTAACAATTTCATCACAAAGAATCCTCTTCATTCTGGCAAAATAAATTATCTCAGTTTGTCTTGCGTCATGAAGATTGAAAATGAGATGGGTATGTTTTAACTCTATAGGAATCATATTACAATAAAATTTGAAGCATAGCATATGAACCATATATATCATTCACTCTGATTGAATTCTGCAACTTTACACCAAAGATGAAAGAGGTAGAAGATTATTAGTTGTTCAATGTAAAGGCTCAACGGAAAAACAAAAATGTGTTGAGAAATACAATGATTCTTAATAACCTTGTTTATATTGTTAATAATTGTAAGGTGTAAGAGTATTATTTAAAACACAGTGAACTATATTAACTTAAACAATAGAATTAACAGAAAACCAAAAGGTTTTCATTGATGAATTACATCGCTTGCTAAAAGTTGAATATTTCTCTGCATAATTTGAGCATCTACTCTTACATATCAACACAAATCAAAAAGGAACAAACAAAGCCTAATATCTGAAGACATCTATCTAAGCCTTCTTTGGAGTTTTCTTGGGCTTTGTCGGAGACTTTGGAGTACTGGAAGCAGCATTTTCAGTCCTTTTAGGCAAGAGGACAGGGTTGATGTTAGGAAGAACACCACCGTGGGCAATTGTAACACCAGCAAGCAAGTTACCAAGCTCTGTATCATTCCTAATAGCCAACAACAAGTGTCTTGGACTTATCCTGTTCTTCTTGTTGTCACGTGCTGCATTTCCAGCCAACTCAAGAACCTGAACAAACACCAAATTTCAAAAATTAGGATCTCAAATTCAAAATCACTGATTCATTGAAATTAAAGATAAAAGAGGGAAAGTGAGATTTACCTCAGCAGCGAGATACTCGAGAACAGCGGCTAGGTAAACAGGAGCACCAGTACCAACACGCTGAGCATATCTACCTTTCTTCAAGAATCGACCAATTCTTCCGACTGGAAATTGAAGTCCGGCTCTGACAGATCTGGTGACTGACTTCTTCCTTGGTCCTCCTCCTTTCCTTCCTCCAGCTCCCTTCTTCACCTTTGTGCTTGCGTCCATTTCGAGAATTGGATAACTATATTATACCTATGAATTCGCTGTATTGTAAGAAACTGTGAGAACTAGAGATGAGGATATGAAAATGAATATGATGTTGGCAAGGTTTTATACCCTCACGGTCCTGGTAAGGATGTTGTTTTGAAATCATGTCCACCGTTGGATTATAACTTATCTATGGCTCTGTGTAACTTACCTGGCAATCCGTGTTTTTTAAAACCGACCAATGGGGACGAAATAAACGCTGTGAACTTAGACCGTATATTGAGCTGTGGAAGCCAGTAATTACTAATTAATTACAAAAGTACTAACACGTACATAAATGTATTATAACTGTATTATATTTTCATAAAAAATTAACTATAATAAATTATCTTGTTAAATCAATTTATTTGATAGTTGTATAAAGAATAAAAGTTATCTATAGAAATGGTTTGAAATTGTGGCATCTTATTTACACCTTTAAAGAATAAAACTTTGATCATTAAACGGCTAGAGAAAAAAGTGTATGATAAATTAATTATAAAATTTACTATAAGTTCTCTTTTTAATTAAAAATATATATCTTAATTTTGAGATATTTTAGAAATTGGAAGAATATTACAAATGTTAATTATGGATTTATCTATTAAAAAACTTTTTTTTTAAATTAATGTGTGTTAAATAATTGTTTGATTTAGATTAAAATATGTGGTAAGATAGTATTGGTTGGGGTATTAAGAATTTTTTATTTAAGTAGTTGGATCATGATTTGTGGTAGGATGGTTTGTGTTGAGATTTTTGAAGTACACGTGAAAATAAATTTTTAATTGTTGTTGGGGATGAAGAGTATATGTATCTTCAATCTTGATGGGTATTCATGCTTTCTGCTTGAGGAAACTCTATTGGGGAGTGTTGATTCTTGTTTGGGGAGAAGAGTCCAAGAGCATTGGTTGTTCATTGCTTTACTGAGGATTTTAGTTCTTACATTCCCTGATTAGGGATAAAAGAGATGGATAAACTTTTGAGGTGCTGTCTGACCGAGTATCTGATATGGATACCGACTCGTTTGGAGAGAATAAGGTTGAAAATATTCGATCAAGTTTCAGATTTAGTAGCAACTCGAACTGTCCTTTGCTGGAGGTGAGAATTTGACTGGTAATTTGTGGTAGAAATAGACTCAAGCTAGGCTGTTGGGAAAATAAACCCTATTGGAG